TTTTTTTTGTAAAATTAATAATAATATTTTCATCAAATATTATTTATTCACAACATTGTTTGTTTGTGTTTTTTTTTTGCTTTTAAAATCATTAAATATTTAAATTTTAGTTTTACACTTTTAAAATTTTATTAATTTCATTATTTGATAATGAAACTGATAAATTCATTACGAAATAATTAATTTCATTTCATTTATTAAGTGGAATGTTTTTTTTTTTTTTTTTTTTTTTGTTTATTTATATAGGTGTTATTGTACAATGCGCTATATTGAATCGTTTCCGGAAGCAAAGTTTCACACGAATTGATCAATTCATTTTATGTTACGGTGGATTACGTGGAGCTATAGCATTTGGCTTAGTTGCTTCTATGCCAAATAATATTCATGCTAAAAGTATGTTTACAACAGCCTGTATAGCTGTCATCTATTTCACCGTTTTTCTACAAGTTAGTTTGCTTTGGGTTTCAATTTTCCGGATCCGGTTTATAATTGGGTTTTTGTATTGGTTGTTTTGAAAAAAAAAATACTTTTCGCATACGATTAATTTATTTGTTGCAGTTAGTGAATAATTTAATATTTTTAAAAATTTTCCTCTTTTCTTCTTTTTTCTTTTTTTTTCTAAAAATTTCCTCATAGTATCAAATCTTCATTATGGCGTTAAAAAACATTTAGCGCAATTGTTACAAAACAAAAAAAAAATTAATTAAAAAGTTATAACCTACCTATCATACGGTACATTTAAAACAGTAACTTTTTTATCTTTTTTATCCTTATGTTAAAAGTTATTAGAAAAATTTAAAACAGAAAAATATTTCTACCATTTTAAAAAGTGAAAAAAAATTAGAGAAATTATTTATTTAATTCATTTATTTAATTTTTGAAAATCATACTATTTCTATTCTTTTTTCTTTTTTAGAAATCGTACTTTCATTTTTTTTTATTTTTAATTTCAAAATTTAATTGACAAGCTTTTTTTTTTAAAAAAAAAACATATAATTTAGATATATTATGATAATTGATAAAAATTTTTTAACAGGGAATAACAATCCGTCCTTTAGCAACATATCTAAACATTGAAAGAGATGCGGAAGAAGATCCAACGATGATACAAAGTGTTTATATGAGGGTATATTCAAATAACCTTTATTTTAGTTGATTAAATAATAATTAGAATAGAAATAAATATTAGAATTTTGTAATATTTAAAACTTATATATATGTTTCTTTTTTTTTTTAATAAATGAAATAGGTTAAAGATTAAAAATCATACTTTCTAACATTTCTTGACCTCTTTTTTTCTTTTTTGTTTCAATAAAT